AAAAAAAGCTCTGAATGGCGGGTGGGTGGCAGTCGTGACAGCAACTCCTCGACCAAATCCCCCTGGGCCCATCGAACAGCTGACGCTATGAGTTCAGTCCGTATTTCTGCGCCAGCATTGAGAAGGGTGCGCACAAGCTCCATATCAATCTCTGCCTCTTCAAAGTCGCCCCACTTACGGACTGCGAGCTCAAGCGCTCCGCATTCTGCATACCGTCTGCCAGACTCTTCCACATTTGTCTTATTGACGTCTGCGGCTGCGGCGAGCAGGATCTTGACGATTCCCAGGTGGCGAGACTTAGCTGCAAGCTCGATAGGAGTAAACAGTCTACGTTCGCCCATTGCTTGACACACGAGCTTATTCGGATCAATGGCGTTGGGAGAGTTATTAGTGGCCCGCAATATGAACATCACAGCGTCTTCATCACAACTGTCAACAGCAGCTCGAAACAAGTTATCACCGAGGCATTTTGCTTGCGCTGGAGGGCATGTTTTCAGACACCCTATGATTCGCAAGCTCATATGTTGCTTCACCCTCAACATTCTCAATATGCTCCAGATAGAATATCGGCCAGGCCAGCAAACCCGTTGGCAATCGAATACAAAAGCGTGATGTGGAATTGGTCCCCGCTTTGGTCATTGTATACTTGGAGTGCCTCAGGTAAGAGCGAAAACAGATTCTCGAGGACCTCATCAGTACCAGGTAGCCGGCGAACCACAGGAGCATCAGCCCTAATGTCAGGAACTTCTCTGAGAAGTGATAGCGCAAGGGAGAGANGGACCTCATCAGTACCAGGTAGCCGGCGAACCACAGGAGCATCAGCCCTAATGTCAGGAACTTCTCTGAGAAGTGATAGCGCAAGGGCCGTGGTAGTTTCTCCGGTGCTAAGTCGATTCCCAAGAGCTTTGCCCAAGAAAGTCATATGCAGTTGAGAAAACGGCGACTCCTGGTCCCAGTACTGACAAGAATGAGGGTTCCCCCAAAACAAAGGTTGAAACAGATCGTTTTCCAACATAAAGCCGGGCATTAGCTCAAAGTCCATCATTTGGATCGAAAGGGCCTGCGAATCCGCTGATAGTGGAGGAGAATTCTGTGATTGATTGACAATCATTGAACATTCCTCACGTTCGCCCGTATAGTTTTGAAATGGGGTGTGATTGATTGTATCGTTTGCAGCTATACCAGTGACTGGAAGGTTTTGTGGGCTCGAAGAATGGTTTTCGAGGCCGTCGCTTGTTATTGATGGTTCTATTTGACCCATTGAAAGTACGCTGGTAATAGACGATGATAATACATTGGTACGAGTGACTTCATTTCCGGTGTACGTTGTCCACTCATGGTTTTCGCCTTTAATCTCGATAACAAGATTGCTAGAACGAGGCGCAACATTTGCTTCTGGCTCGTGAGTTAATACTTTTACGGTGATAGAATTCTGAATAACATACCACTTGTTGTGCCAGGGTTAGGAGGTGGGGGTCCTAAGTTCCTCGTTTTTCATCTGGCGTTGTTTCTCGCTAAGAACTTTACCCGAAAGCTTAACGCGAACTTTCAGCCCCCTCGCTTCGAGTTCACGAAGTTGGGCATTCACTGCCCTCCATTCTTCCTTTTTGAAATTCTTGGGTTGGTAACGTGACTTGAAATGAGCCTCGTATTGGGAGAGACTATAAGAGCAAATGAGATTTGGTGAACGTAAGATTGCAGCTCGGAAGCCTTAACCTTACCTGGCAGTGAACTGATGCTCTGCTTCCATAATACTCTGCACACTTTCGCCACCGGTCTTGCTGCACAGAGGTAACCCACGGACATGGTAGAGATGATGAATAATATCCTCGTGGCGTTTCCACTCCTCTGGGGTAATCTTTCGCACCATTTTCGGAAAGAATTGTAGTGGGGGAAAGTTTATTACGATCGCTGTTGTGAACTTCTTAATCCTTGAGGAAAGCGAGGGTATTTAAGTTCTATCTCGAAGTCAGAAGGGGGCTGCGTTTTTCAATCCAGAGATGGTTTTGGCATTCAGGTTTCGGCATTCAGGTTTTGGCACCCAGGTGTTGGCGCTTACGGCATGCGCTCGACTGTAGTCAGTGTAGTACAAACGTAATCATTTCTGATAGGATCATCACCAGTTCGTACAGCATGCACTTCTTAATGTATCCACTTGTGTCACCGGCCAGCTAGCCTTACAAGAACAGGATCCGAGTGCCGTGTAGGAGTACTATTCGGCCTGCAAAGACCTCACCATTTTCCAAAATCTGATGATAGCCTTGCAACTTCCAAAGTACTTAGACCCACCAATGAAGATTCTCGCTCGCATCCCCGACAAAACTTCGTGATCGCCATGAGTAAACATCCTGTATGTCCATGAAATTTCTTTCCCAGCTCTTCTTGATAGTTGCCATAGTGGGTTCAAACACCGCCATTATACTGTTTGTCAAGGGAGAATGAGAAATTAGAGAGTCTTTGGAAAGTATTATCATAACCTGTTATCCCTACAAGACATTGCCACTTTTCTCTCCTCTCACTCTCACTGAGCAACCACTTCAGCTAATCCCCTACCAAGGCCCTTGGACGGATCATCCTCACCCTCAAAGCACCTCTCAAAAAACCTCTCCAACAACGTCCCCTCAACCTCCAACATCCTCGCCCCATCAATCGTCCCAAACGTATTTCCAAGATCAGGAACCCCCGGAATTCCACTCTTCTTAAGAACTCCATACAGGTACGCAAAATCGGTATACGCAGGATGACTACTTCCAGTAATTCCAAAGAACCCCTGTCTTGCTTTCCTCCCTCCACTTGCGCGGAAGAGTGCCCATGAGGGATCGGTGACAGCATTGTGGCCATCGCTCGCCAAGGTGAGGAAGGGACGCGGGGAGAGCGACGCAGAGATGACGGGGACGTTCCCCCAGAATGTTCCATCGAGGTTGATGCCGCATTTTAGTTCCTTGTTTTGGGACATGAGGGATGCTGCGGCGGCTCCACCGAATGAATGCCCAAATATTCTGGAGGGCTTATCGAGTTTGTTGTCCGTGCCTGGGATTTGCTTCACGAAGTGTTTATCGCGTAGAGCTGCAGTCACGGCTTGGAGGTCTTTGACTCGTATGTCGATTGCTGAGTCCGCTGCTGCGATGGGATCCACTGGCTGAGAGGAAACGAGTGTGGCGTTGTGACCATCTGGATAAGCGACGAAGTTTGAGTCGAAGGGGTGGTCTACGGATACTATCACATATCCTCGGCTAACGAGTCTCGCGATTGTGGCTCCGTAGTCCTCTCTACTTTGCCCATAGCCACCACTAAACAGAAGTACTTCCTTCACTTCCTTCCCTCTTTCTCCCACCCCGTCGCTGATTTTCGCGCCGCCATAGGCGTTTGAGATTACGGTCTCGATGAATCCGGGTGTTATACCGAGGGAGGCGGTTAGATACTTTGCGTACGCGCTGTCGTATGCGGGTGCTAGAGTTGATATGCGTGATGGTTGCGATGGGTAATAGACGGAGATCATGAGGTCTCGATTACCTGCGAACGGTGTGATTGGGTCGGGGTATGAGAGCTTGAGTTCGAGGGGGGTGATTCCCGGTTTTCTGTTACCAGGGACGGGTGGGAAGTTGAGTGCGGAACTCAGGGAGAAGGTTCCCATGAGAGGGAGGAAAGTGGAAAGATACATCTTGAATCTTAAGTAGTTCTCTAATCCCGAAATTTAACGAGTGGTGGTTGAAGATTTGAGATGCGAAGCGAGAGAATCAAAACAATGTCTCAGACACTTTTCCAAGCACCGATACTCAGCACTCAGCTTATTATCAGAAAATATATATTGAGGAGATAATTGATACTAA